CTACACGGCTAAAATCGCACAGGTTGTTCCAAGTTGATATCAACAGGCGTGAACAATGTTGTGCGGCCAACTATGAACAAGTTGTCAACCATGTCATTCCAAGTTGTTACAGTTGAACAATGCTGTAACAACATGTTGACAATACTGTTCATAGTTGGCCGCACAACATTGTTCACGCCTGTCGATATCAACTTGGAACAAGTTGTTGATTCTCTCAATTTTTACGCGTGTAGGTATAACCTTATGGCTCAGCGACTACTGGGACGCAGATTTCTCGATTTAACTATCTCTCGCTGCTTTGGAATTTGAGCACGTGATTTCGGCAAAAGTTCAATAGACAAGTGGTCCGATAAACCGAAAGGTGAGCGCTTATCTGGATTATTGTAAAAATCTTGCAGATTGGAAAGGATAAAATCCAAGGTGTTTTGGCCTCTGCTCGGAAACTTAACGATCTGACTTAGTTTAAAACTGGATTTTAAGTGTGCAACATTTAGGCCATTAAAATCCCCAAGCAAAAGAATCCCTCTTAAATTAATTTGGGTGTCGAGACTCTAGAAACGAGAGACAGTCCATATTTAAAGGTAAGTCGACATAGCAGAATTATTTCCATTCGGAGGATGGTATACTGTTCCTATGACAATACTGCTAATGCCTAAATGATACCCCTTGGGATTCATATAGAGGGTCGATTTTATAGTCGTCTAATATAAATTGAATTGAATCTTTGATATATGTACACACACCGCCATGTATTCTTGTTTTTCTTTCAAGTTGAACCAAATTAAACCCGCTAATCGAGACTACATTATTGTGAATATATGTAGACAAACAACATCTAAGGCAGCGTGTAAACGCTGCCTAAATTTACATGTGTAACATAATGCCAGACTTCATCAAGTAGTTTCGGTGCCAAGGCGGGAACAAATGTCTTTCCGATACTGTTTGTCGATTGTGTCGTGTGCGATGGATTTATATACACACAATTTGTAGGATTATGCCTTATCGATCTTCAAAAATCTTTGAAATTTGCGGTATTTCATTGGTATGGTTGGTTGCTCTTGATTTCATAATATCGATCTTGTAGCGAGATATTGCTTGCCTTGCCTTAATGGTTGTCTACGATTTAACTAGTTTTCCTGCTCGTTTTCCCCGAATAGTGGCCAGGCTTTCTTAATATACCATTATTAAGATAATAAGAGAGAACGAAAGCCATATTTCAGATGTTGAATAATAAAATATAGAATTATAAATGAGCCATATTTCAGATGTTGAATGATAAAATATAGAATTATAAATGACCAGGGCGTAATCGGCGTAATAAAACACTTACACACTGTGTTTTACAGCGTCCTGATTTGACCAATCAAATTGCGTGTTTCGCAATATATAATGCATGCAACTTCCGTTTGATTGTTTATGGTTTATAAACCAACAATTAAATTAAACTCCCAACACAGAAATAAGACTCCCCCCCCCCTAAATCGCGACGGGTATACCCTGATTGATATTCGCAATAGAAAGAACGAATAATATAATCTACCAAGGAAAGGATAATTATGTCCTTCAATCAAAGCGACTACTGTTTGAGAAGAACAGACCCAAGTAAGATATTTGCTTCATTTTAGTTTGTTTATTATTAAAATCGCGTGCGCCTTATTCACAATGCAATTTAGCATTGGCAAAATACCTATTCAGTTGATTTAAAATTTAGTCTAGTATTGTAGTTGATATTTTATTTTATTAATGTAATATTTTCTCTGTAATTCCAACTCGTTGAATTACACACATATTGAACATTTAATATATCGAAATAATCGAATAAAGAAAATAATCATGCCATATGCAGTCTAGTGGAGCTAGTCTAAACAAATTTTGAAAATGTTTTCTATGTATACTGTTTTGTATTTATATATTGTTTTGTATTCCACAAACATGTGAATGCCGCAACAAAAACCGGAGTTAATATTACTGGTAGTAAAGGACGAATTCAATTGACCACTTGCGTAATAGACTAAACTTTGATTTAGACAAAAATTTCATCACAGCTTGAAAGAGCATCACAAAATTAGTAATATTCCAAAGTTTCGTTGCGAAATGTTGTAAAATGCGGATAATATAGCCTTGCGAAGTTTGCAATTTTCAGTCATTTTAGATTACAAACGGGAAATTGACAGCCCAATACCCTTTGGGGCTGTCAATTTCCCGTTTGTAATCTAAAATGACTGAAAATTGCAAACTTCGCAAAGCTATATTATCCACATTTTACAACATTTCGCAACGAAACTTTGGAATATTACTAATTTTGTGATGCTCTTTCAAGCTGTGATGAAATTTTTGTCTAAATCAAAGTTTAGATCAAAATTTAGTCTATTACGCAAATGGTTAATTGAACAGCGAATAAAAATCGATTTCAAACATTCAGACGAATGCTATTTGTCACGACACCCAAGTCACGCAATAAACTTCTAGCTATACAGGGTGTCTAAAAAAACGCTACGGAAATTAAACAGGCTGTCGTGCATCATAAACGTGGCTAAACAATTCAATTTTTACATAGTTATTTGCTTTTCAATGACACTCTTTTTAGTCGTAACGATGAGAAATGGCCACATACTCGTCAAATAAAAATTGCCGGTCGAAATCACATTCTTCCACCGTTGGGAATTGCATCGAAAACGAAACATAAACAATTCCCAAGAGGGAATTAAAATTGAATGTTAAATGATCTAAAATAAGCTGAACTCGTCAATCTTCGTCTTAGTGAGACAATAACTTAATACGAATTTGGTACGAAACATGGTTCAATTAACCCCTGAACAGAGAACATTCGTTACCAAAACGTTTTATGAAACAAATAGCTTGCAGCAGGCTCGCGTTGCTTTTGGATTGACTAACTTTGCATAATTAATTATTTTCAATTCCCAACGGTGGAAGAATGTGATTTCGACCGGCAATTTTTATTTGACGAGTGTGTAGCCATTTCTCATCGTTACGATTTCAAAAAGGTATCATAGAAAAACTAAATAACAGCTCTTTCTTCCTATGTAAAAATCGAACTGTTTACCTACGTTTATGATGCACAACAGCCTGTTGAATTTCCGTAGCGTTTTTTTTAGACACCCTGTTACCTGTATATACATGCAGTCACAAACAAATACATACGCCACAAAAAGATGCTGTGACACACTGATTTTGGTCACCAAATCTTTCAGCATCGGCGTTTGAAAACGAACCGCGGTTAAATATATCGTAATGCAAGCAAGAAATTCATGAGAGTAGAAACGTGTTTCAGTATGTTAATTAACCATTAAATGTCTCTCCCCTTGAAGAGTAAAATCGTCTGGTATTAGACAGAGTAAAATAATAAAGTATGGCGCATCAGGGCGTAGTGCGACTCAATGGGTTAACTAGACACCTGAGCAGATAGGCCAGTTAACCCATTAAGTGCCAGAGCTCCACCCTTGACGAGTAAAATCGTCTGGCATTAATAGACAGAGTAAAATAATAAAGTAGGGCGCACCAGGATGCAATGCGACTACATGGGTTAAACCGTCAAGGACATCACGTTAGAAAGCAAGACACCGGGAACAAATGTCTTTCCGATACTGTTTGTCGATTGTGTCGTGTGCGATGGATTTATATACACACAATTTGTAGGATTATGCCTTATCGATCTTCAAAACTCTTTGAAATTTGCGGTATTTCATTGGTATGGTTGGTTGCTCTTGATTTTACAATGTCGACTTGTAGCGAGATATTCCTTGCCTTGCCTTAATGGTTGTCCATGATTTAACTAGTTTTCCTGCTCGTTTTCCCCAATATAGTGGCCAGGCTTTCTTAATATACCATTATTAAGATAATAAGAGCGAACGAAAGCCATATTTCAGATGTTGAATGATAAAATATAGAATTATAAATGACCAGGGCGTATCGGCGTAATAAAACACTAACACACTGTGTTTAACAGCGCCCTGATTTGACCAATCAAATTGCGTGTTTCACAATATATAATGCATGCAACTCCGTTTGCTTGTTTATGGATTATAAACCAACATATACCCTGATTGATATTCGCAATAGAAAGAATGAATAATATAATCTACCAAGGAAAGGATATATACTTCAATCAAAGCGACTATTGTTTGAGGGACAAGAACAGACCCAAGTAAGATATTTGCTTCATTTTAGTTTGTTTATTATTAAAATCGCGTGCGCATATTCACAATGCAATTTAGCATTGGCAAAATACTTATTTAATTTGATTTAGAATTTAGTCTAGTATTGTAGTTGATATTTTATTTTATTAATGTAATTCGATATTTTCCCCTGTAATTCCAACTCGTTGAATTACACACATATTGAACATTTAATATATCGAAATAATCGAATAAAGAAAATAATCATGCCATATGCAGTCTAGTGTAGTCTAAACAAATTTTGAAAATCTTTTCTATGTATATTGTTTTGTATTCCACAAACATGTGAATGCATTTTTAATCGCAACAAAAACCGGAGTTAATATTTGACCACTTGCGTAATAGACTAAACTTTGATCTAGACAAAAATTTCATCACAGCTTGAAAGAGCATCACAAAATTAGTAATATTCCAGTAATATTCCATATATAGTAAGTTTCGTTGCGAAATGTTGTAAAATGCGGATAATATAGCCTTGCTAAGTTTGCAATTTTCACATTTTAGCGGATTACAAACGTATTATCCATATATTATCCGCATTTTACAACATTTCGCAACGAAACTTTGGAATATGTCTAGACTTGTTTAGATTAAAATTTAGTCTATTCATAGTTAATGGAGCAAGATGGTTTGGAAGCTTCCCCTATTTTGCGATGACGTAATTATTATGTTAACCGATTAAATTCTAAGGTCACGTGACGACGAAAGACTACAATTGAAAAAGCGCCAAAATATGATAATATAATATCGTAGTAATTTGATACACGAATGCCCAATTGCGCTTTTTACAATTGTTTTCACAGTAGGCGGTACAAAAACGTGAGTTTGTTTCAAATTCCAGTTCCTCGTAATTCAGACAGCGAATTTACTTTTCATCGTAAGGAAGAAGCACGAAACGGTTGGATTAACGCGATATTACGAACGAGACAGTTGGACGCGAACTTGAAGACACAGATCGAAAACAACAATATACATATTTGTGAGAGTCATTTTAAAGAGGAGTACATTGAAAACTTTTCCAAAAGGAAGTCCCTCCAAACTGGTTCAATTCCAACAGAAAATCTCCCCGTCAAAAGCTTCGATCATCTTAGCACAAGCTTCACTAGTGCGCCGAGAAAAGAACCAGCTCCAAGGCATGTTTCTCAAGAAACTACAATTATATATGCCTCTCTTGATAAGTTCGATGCATATTTGAAAAAAGCTGGAAGGTATCCATATTTTCAAGGTTGGAATTGGTTCAAAGAAGGGAATAACACTGTTATTGAGTTTAAAGAAAGTGAGTACTTGATTGCAAAGATTTCTGTACGTGTCGAATCTACTCTTAATTATACTGTTCTTGTTTATGGCTGGGCATTGCCCAATGATCATCCCATATACGTTTCAAACGAGCGTTCTTTGCAGTGCTGTAATTTTAAGACGCTTTGTAACGAAATTGTATCTCTGGGTATTTGCAAAGGAACTCTATTTCCCCTGAAGTCAAGCAAATCAGTGAAAACACAACTTGTTCCCCTGTTACCAAATGACTCTTCTCCACAATATCGTACAGTTGAATACTGTCGTGCGCTTTCATGTCGTGTTCTGGTTTCATCCATACTAAGTGACAGTAAACAATTGCAATGTGAATCGTGCAGTCGAGAATCAAACAGCAATGTAGGTAACTTCAATGTGGCTTCTGTTAAGTGTAAAACACCGCTGTCATGCCTTTCCAAAGAACAACTAATTGCAACTGTAAAAGACACAAGGGTGAATTTGAAAGAAGCCAAGCTGAAGTGTGCACAACTCGAAAGGAGAGTACAACGAATGGAAAATGAGATCAAACATCATGGTATTAGAATAGAAACTGGTTTGGAGAAAGAACTTACAAGTATCATCACTAACACATCATTAGAAGCAACTCCACACATGAAACTTGTATGGGAACAACAGAAGAAAGCACTGAATCAACAATCAAACTTTGGTAACAGGTGGCATCCACATTTTATACGGTTCTGTTTGTCTATTTATTCAAAGTCGCCTATTGTTTACCAAGAATTGAGAGATTCTGGAACAATGCAGTTACCTAGTTCCAGAACTTTGAGATCCTACAGAAACAACTTTAAACCAGGAGCAGGGTACTTGCCTGAGAACATCAAGTCATTGATTTCCAGAACAAAGGGTTTCCTGGATAAAGACAGGTGGATTGTTGTCATGTTTGATGAGATGAAGATTAAATGTAATTTAGTGTTTGATAAACATTCTGGACGCCTGATTGGATTTGTGGATCTCGGTGATCCAGATATCAACTATTCAACATTTGATAAAATTGAACCAGCTACCCATGTACTTGCTTTCTATGTCAGGGGAATAAACACTAAGTTGCAGTTTATGCTTGGTTACTTTTTCACCCGAGATGTGGTCTCCTATCAATTAATGCCACTTTTTTGGCGTGGTGTTGCTATATTACAACTTAAAGAAAATTTGAATGTTATTTGTGCAGTCAGTGATGGGGCTTCACCAAACCGCAAATTTTATCAACTCCACATTTATATTGGTGAAAAACTTAACAACCAGAAAGTTGTGTATAAAACAAAAAACCTCTTTGCCCCGGGAAAGTGGATTTGGTTTTTTGCTGATGCTCCACATCTATTAAAAACGGCTAGAAACTGCTTGCTTAATTCTGGTTCTGGTTTGAAATCAAGGTGCATGTGGAACAATGATCAATTTTTATTGTGGAACTATATATCAGATTTATATTATTCTGATCTGGAACTGGGGCTACACCAACTTCCTAAGCTAACAATTGAACATATCATGTTAACGTCTTATTCAAAGATGAGAGTAAATCTTGCTGCCCAGGTAATTTCTACATTTGTTTATATTTTTAAAATAGTATAGATTTAAATCATACCAGGAAAGAAAGTGCCTTGGCTTCTTAACAATTCGTTTTCAAACTAATACGTCTCCTGTCCTCATGAACATCTTGTCTATATTTTCAAGGGCAAGTCACAAATGGGTCGAAAACAACAATCCATTTTAGAAATAACAGATATATTTCTTCTCCAGTTTGTTCTCATGTTGTCAAAACAAGCAACTTTACGTGCTAACGTGATTGGACAATCTTTGTTTCAAAACCGGAAGTGATCTATTAAAATTGTTAATCCAAATTCCAAAGTGAAATATGAGCATGAAATTGACAATGTTTATATTTCTAAACAACAAATGTTAATCCATACAGTTTTATATAATCATATTAAAGTATGTGGCTCAAGCAATAGTTCGTGATGACATTGCTTGCGAAGAAATATAATTATATAAAGTTGTATAAATCAGGATTGTAACTAAATGTTAGTAAACGTTGCTAAACGTTAGTAAATATGCAGTGTATTTTTTAAGGAATTCCTATGAGTCCAATGAAAACCACTGCACTCACTGAATCATCAAATTTGATATGTTGATCATTACAGTATTACTGTACTTTGTTTCTAATTGCTTTGTTTTATTTTTCCATAACACAGATCCTTAGCAATAGGATGGCCCAAGCCCTTATCCGTAGCTATCCAGAAGGAGAAGCAAATGAAACAGCAAGATTTTGTAAATTAATGAATGACTTTTTCGACTGTTTAAATGTTCGTGCATACAATGAGGCTACCTGTAAACGTAATGTACTCCTGGGACCATATAGATCACAGGATGATAAAAGGTTTGAATGGTTAGTAAACACTTTCCTCCAGTACTTTCATGACTGGAAAAAAGCTGTCGAGACTCGTCCTGGAAATTTCCTACCAACAGCTCAAGCTAAGATGTTCATTTCGCAACAAACTTATGAAGGCCTTCAAATCACTGTGCATTCAACTGTCGAGACTGTCAAGTTCCTCCTTTCCCAAGGTGTTGATAGCGTTTTGACAGAACGCTTCCAGCAAGACCCGTTGGAAGAATATTTCGGAAATCAGAGACAAAGGGGCAGAAGGTCGGATAATCCCGATGCATCACAATTTGCATATAATGATCGAGCCCTTGATGTCCAACGCAACATTGTGCCTATCAAAGCTGGTAACACTGGAAAACGCAGTGCAGAAAAATCCAGGTGGAACGACATCATTGAGGAGCCTCTGGACAAAGCCAAAAAACAAAAAAAGAAATAACAATTGTGTGTTTATTCTTGGACTCCACTTTTTTCAGTATAATTGCACACAGTTTTAAAACCTAGTTATAAATAAGGTAGTTTTATGGTCCACAAAACTTTACCAAATAGAAGGATAAACATTGTTCACACAATTTGATATATTTTGCCTGCCAAGATGCTTGGACATGATTTCAAGCTTTAACACACACAAGTTGTTGTATTAGATGTTTGCATAATTAGACTATACAGAATAAGTTGCTGGTGCATTTTAGGCCTGCAGGCAAATTGTCTCAAACCATGTAAACAAAGTTTACCTGTCTATAATCCAGAACGTATCTGGCACATCCCTAGTTATAACTATTCAGGATTGACCTCTGATTTCTGTTGTAGAGTTTTCCTTAAGGCCTTCTTGCTATTTGAACTGTCTTGTTTTCTATATTTATTAATTAAATCTCTCGAAAAGGAGAATGCTCGAATTTTTAAATATAAAAAGGTTATGTTCTCAAGGCAAACTTTCGAACAATCGTGAGATATCAAGTAAGGGCATTCTTGTATGATGTTGCTCCAAAGGCTTTTCACTTTTGGATTTTCTAGTATATTAGTCCGTAATTCTGAAATTGGAATAGGTTTTGTAACATCATGAGCAACAGTTTTATATCGAAATGTTTTCTCTATTTCAAACCCAATAGCAATTAAATCGTCACACGGAGTCCACAGTCCT